ATTCATGAAATAGTAGTTCAATAAAATTTTAAATGTGAGTCAAAAAACGAGATGACATGGCATTTCACCAGTGCCCTGTACTGAAAAGGTTAATAGCATTAATTAGTGTTATGTAAAATATTTGATTAATCAAAAATATGATTAAAGTGATTAATGGCATGAAAATAACCAATTAGTATTCCTGATTATTCCAACTACCCAATAATTGAAATATTGTCATTATGTTTGTTTCTTGTTACTCTTACATGTATGGGATTGGTCCATTTGTTGAACACCCTTATCTGTGAAGTTAGAGGCAGTAGCATTTACTTTATTTCCAAAACAACTAAGTGTATCTTCACAAAATTTCCCAAGCTTTTCGTAGACATTCCAAGTCTGTTGTACACAAAAAATCTGATGTTTTAATAAAGTATTTTTACTACAGATTTGTTTGTGAATTTCAGAAGCCTCTGCTGAGTCAATCGGAGTGAAAGGTAATTTTCATGCTCAGAATAAAAATACCTCTATCATCTTAAAGTTTTCTTACTTTATTTGCATAACCTCTAGAACCTCCAAAAGGAACACCAAAAATTATTTTTGGTAAAACATATCTTACTTGTTTTTTCTCTACCTTATTACTAACTGTAGTCAAATCATCAATGTGCAGTGAAAAGTTAAAAAAACATGAAATGTAATTAATAATACCTTTTTTTTTTCCTACAATGACTGAACATTGTGACAGACAAGTTGACTTATTTATATTAAGAGCTTCTAACCTTCTCACACCTGTATCTTTTAATTTTATGGCTTTATTACTGTACTTTTGGAAAAGCTATAAATCACAATGGGGTATTTTTAGTAGAGTTCAGGGTAAACAAATGATCAGGTTACATTCATTTACTAACAGCAAGCTTGCCTTATGGATCAAATGAAGTCATGAAATTTAAAATGTTAAGTTTATGTTACCTAATGTAAGAAGCTTAGTTTCTACATTTTAATTACTTTAGATTCTTTGTAAGTAATTTATGTACATAAAAAAATTTAAATTTAGCACTAAAATCTTAGTAGAAGCCTTTTGCACTCAATGCTGTGGCACAGTAAACCTACTTTTTTTCTCATTAAGTTAGTTGTGTACATAAAATTTCATGTAGCTCACACATATGGATTTTAGAAAAAAAAATATGTCAGGAACTAGAATAGTATGTCCTAAAGCTGCTATAATTTTACTAGCTTTCTAACTAAACTGTAAACAGGTTAAAAAAAAGTTCTCTTTACAGTTCAGAACTGAACAATAACAATCACAGATAAAGAATCTAAAGCCAACATGGTTATGCCCACCTATATATATAACATGGTAACAAGCTTTTGTAGATACAAAAATTATCCTTCCATTGATTTTACACACATCATATAAAACCAGGTGGGTAAATAAATGTCTTGAAAGTTTTGGAAGAATTGTGGATTTGACAAATTTTTTGATATCTCAGCAAATTGAAAAGGTAAGAGGTTTAAATTCTATATTCCCACTTCTGATTGGTTAAACACTTGTGAATCAACCCAACAATTAATCAGTTGGTAAACTCCACTAATCATCCAGCTCTATTGTGAAAAATAACTGGAAAATGTTATTAAATCTTAAGTTTTTGTCAGCAGAAGACATTAACTGCAAACATTATTTATTCTTTGTGCTAATAATTTGCTAGTTTATGAGAAAATTAAGCTATAAAAAATCATTATTTTATGAACACTGCTTTTTAATATCTAAGTTTTCATATTACTTGGTTCTAATATTTTTCTTGCACCTACAATTATCAAATATTAACAATATCACTGAACTTTCCACAGGATGATTTTTGAAAAGATAATAGAAGTTACAATATAGTATGGTGTGTGTAAAGTTTTATTATATAAACAATAAAAAGAATACTGTTCACATAATTACGATAATTTGAAGAAACAAAAGTCAAATTGAGAAAAAAAAGTTTTTACCATCATGTTGCATATCAGATGTCCATAGAGTTAAATTATCCCTTAGAAGCTGCATGATGAGGGTGGAGTCCTTGTAGCTTTCTTCACTGAGTGTGTCAAGTTCAGCAATAGCATCATCAAAAGCAGCTTTAGCAAGACGACATGCCCTATCTGGCGAGTTAAGGATCTCATAATAAAAGACTGAAAAGTTAAGAGCAAGACCCAAGCGTATTGGATGAGTTGGTGGTAGCTCAGTCATGGCAATATCACTAGCAGCCTTATATGCCACCAAACTGTTTTCAGCAGCTTCCTTCCTGTCATTCCCTGTAGCAAACTCAGCAAGGTAACGATGATAATCACCCTTCCTGTACAGCATAAAAAAATATCAGAGAAGCCAGAAATACAGGTTAAAACACAAAAACCACCTGGTGTCATTTCTGCTTTTCTAGTTCATAATTAGCAGATCTGGACAAGTTACTTTTAATTTACTCAAAATATGAAAAAAAAAGGGTGTATTGTTAAGGTTATTTTCCAGCATTCTTGTAAATATTTTTTTAAACTCTTAAAACTTAATTAATTCTCAAACTCTTATGATTCTATAATTTATTTAACTACTTGTTCATACATATACAAACAGTACAAGCTAAATATAAATTAAAGACTGATATAAAATCAGTGACTATGTACACTGACTCTCACACCTAACCTACAAGTTGTCATTTATCATTATATTTAACTAGTAGAAACGCCACCTTACAGATGGCTGTTTGTGCTAGTAATTACTAATCGTAGTATTCATTTCTCATTGAAAAAAAGGTGAACATTTTTAGTCTCTTTATTCACATGCAACTCATTGCATCAAAATGATTTAATGATTCAAAATGTTTTTATAAAATAAAAGTGGTACCATTTATTGAAAATACAAGTTTTTAAAGAATTCCAGTTTCTCGGTAATGCATTTTAAAAATTACATCAATAAAGATATAATCAAACCCTCACATACAGTCCTAATGAAAGTTGTGTTCTTATTGTGAGGAGAGTAGTTTTATTTAAAATTGTGTTCTATTGTAACGAAATGGTTGTTTCACATACCAGTTATTTTTCTAATTGTCTGAATCTTGAATGGCCAAAGCGTGAAATGTTTTTTATGGATTTTTGTTTGCGGTGCCATTCAGTAGATTGTACAGGTATTTTGATTACATACACACTACATCCATTATAGTAAGAAGATTTCTTCTACAAACTCTTCAAGCCCACACTATCAATAAAACTGAACTATCACAATTTGAGAAACTAAGTGCTTGAAAAGTTTTTCTGTTTTCTTTTTCTAAATATCCTAACATGGTCTTGAAAAAGTTTGAAAATTATTCTAATATTTCTCAAGCTTGTACTCAAAGATCTAATTACATATTTATTGCTTCATACTACTGAAAGATGTATAAGTTCTAATAAGAATTTACAGTTAGTAGAAAATCCAGTTGAATGGAATTAAATGTATTTTCTACTAACATTACTGTACAATAAGTCTTACAATTATCAATACTTTGTAGTTAAACATATTAACTTTGTTTCTGTAAACCTATTTTAGCAAATTTCTTTCACATAAATCTACAGCCATCAGTTTAGCCTAAATCAACCCAGGTAATTATTGGTTGATTGTTTGCATCCTTTTTTCAACAACTAAATCAAAAGATGTAAATGGACTATTTGAAGTAATACTCAAATCCTTTTTCATTATTTCATGTTATACACAGCCAAAGCCATGTTTTTTTTCATTACAGCTTAGCCAACAGATAATGTAATTAGTTATGTACTATAACTTATCAGTTCTTTGAAACTACAAAAAAAAAAAATTCCTTGGTTCCCTTTTAGCATGATTATGGCAAGTGTTCACTTGTTCATAACATAATTTTGAATTAAACAGCACATTGCTTACTTTTACATGAAAAAATGTATACAGTTCATACTGTGATATTTCAGTGCATTTTTTGTTTTTGACAAAAGAAAAACTGATGGGAAAAATAATAATTGCTAGGAAAAAAATTTGTTGATACTTATGAGGTAACAAAAGTAATGCAAGATCTTTTAACTATTAATTTAGCTTTGTAATATTTACTAAATACCATTACAATGAAGTTTATTAATATTTCAGAGAACCCGAGTGTTTCAATTTTTTGAGTATCTTCAAATAAATTTATTCGTACCTAAAATATAAATTCAAAAATAAACTAATTCATACATACTAGTATACAATATGTTTAATATTTAATTTTCATAATTAAAGCCTGTCAATTTTTAGTTTTTGTTCAAATTGCTTAGAAAATTGGAAACATTTTACATTCATTCCAAATAAGTATCTTTTCTTACCACATTTTCACTTCCTTGATTGTTGGTTTCTTCAGTTATACAAACTAATTATAATAATAATAATACAGAGATGAAGCTTAACTATTAATATGCAAACATAAATCCTAAGGTAACTATTTTCAATACCTGTTTTAAGGTTAGTGAATTTTTTATTGAAGTGCTAAAGAAAGTGGTTCTCAAAGTTTGGTTTCCATGGAAGCTCAGGTAATGATAGCATTAAGTATCAATCCTATTATTGATGTCTCAACATAATTTCTATATTTTAGTTGATTAAGTTCCTGAATTTTTCTCTCTCTTTCAAGTGCTTACTTCATTTAAACTTTAATGGTCTTTACAAGTAAAAATGAAAAGGTGTAACATATCTTTACCAAAGTTAAATGATCATAATGGTCAGGGGTAAAATTGTGCCAGTAATCATCAGTACTGAGTACCGAAACATGTTTTTTAAGGCAGTACTAGTACTGGGACTTACCTGGGCTGCTTTGTCCTTTTTTTTATGTTTACACATGGGTTTTTTTCTTTTTTTCAAAAAAGGTCCATTTCACTCAGCTGAGTATCTCTACTTTTTTTTTTGAGAATTTCACCCTTGATAATGGTTAAGGCTTAAAGAACATCATTATTGGACTACCGCATTATGTAATATAAGTAGTGTTTGAATGGATACCAAAAATCCTATCCAGATCGGTAATTCAAGCAGGTATCTGGGTACCCAAAAATTTCCAACCACTATCAACACTTTCTAACATACAGAAGACAAGACAATATGAACCATGATGCCACACAGTTTAAGTTTACTTCGTGTGCAATGTTGTCTTTATTTTTCAAGCAAAAGCATATCTAAAACTGACGATAATAAAACGTTACGAATGTTTGGATGGAAAAGTAAAAGAAAACAGTAAATGATATACTTATAAATGAAAGATGAAACGATGTTAACCCTGAAACATTTTGCAGCCATCGTGTATACTATAGCATAAGCCTGCAAAGTATAGGCTACTGCATGTATTCTTACTATTCTACATGAGGCACTGAAACAAATTTAAACAAACATCTCTATATTTTTCGACTTTCAACAATCAGTAATGAGCACCAGCTTAATGGTCATGAAATCAATAAAGTGTAAAGCTTCCACCTGTTTCTTCAATTGAATAATATTAGCTTATTGATATTGGCAACTGGTAACAAAAAAAGTAATCTTTAATGGTTCACCCTGGCTGGCTGTCATTACACAATACTGACACTGTGAAGGCAATATTTGTACATGACAATGACGCTTGGGTTGTATGTACATACATTTACATACAGAAGTTACAGCATCTACAGCTGCCTGTCATTATAACATAAATTGAGAGATTACAAGACCACTGAGTGCACAATTGATGGGTGGAGCTTACCTCAAATATTTCATTGACAAAACTTTGATAATTGAATAGAGTTGTTTAAACATTTGTTTAACAACAAGTAAAAGTTTGGAAGGGTCTATTCTTTTGTTGCGGGTGTGTCTGTGAGCCAGACTAGTTTCGAAGAATTCCACACCTCAGTGACCCTGGACACTGCCACCAATGAAACTTCAGACCAAACCAAGCCTTTATAGAAGTCAGATATCGAAAATCGAAATTATGTATCTAAGTGTTTTGTGAGTGTAAAACACTTAAATACACAAAACTTTGATAATTCCCCATTAACATTAGTGTGTCAGTTTCTACTTTAAATTGCAATGAAGTGAAACAACAACTCCACAACAATGATCGCTGCATCCTAATACCTCAAATTATTATGAGCAGCAGCCAGCTACAGTTGAAACAAGTTAAACTAGTCATACAAAAATGTAGAATCATATTTATATTGATACAATAATTTACAGTATTTACTATTACAAATCACACTGTCATCACGTTTGAAAGTTTCTTATGAGTGATAGGCCTCATAAGCCCTCATTTCTGTCCTAGAATGCTACAAAATGGCAGTAACCCCGAACAGACTGCATGTAGTGAATCAGCCAATAATCAGTTAATAAAGAAAACTTTAAAAACGGACTATTCAAAATTTGCTGCTTACTTAATTGATTCGTTGTCTCCTATATTCATTATTGTCAATGGAAGAGGTAAAAGTTAGTATGGTATAAGCAAATTTTAAGAGTATAATGAACGGTTGACTAACTTGATTTACAAGGTACTCAATGATTTTTGTACACTGTTAAGCTTAAAGATGAATGACTTACTAATTAATGTCACTGGCCTGCCACAATAATTTAATCTGAGTCTGCTCAACTTTACTATGATTGCTTCCACTTTCATCTTCACTCTGTGTCATTACTTTTTTTTTGCTTACTGTTTTCTCTTAAAAATAATAGTTTGTCTGTAGCTCTGTTTACATTACTTTGACTTAAACTTTGCATAACTTTTCTTTTTAAGAACCAGGTAACAGTTGTGACAGGTGGATATCTGGTAAAAACAATAAATATAAGTATACTTTTAAGTGTCATTGTAACCCAAAAAGGAAATTTAATCAGCAGACTACCACACAACCTTTGTATAAATACTAAACACATTGCTTACTAATTTTATATTTTCACAGTGTTTTGGTCAATTGTCTTTCACCAGCTTTCGCAATAGAATAAAGGATCCAAAATAAAGCAACCATGTGCAGTACATGGGCATCAATCTGTATTGTTACCCATCTGTTCCAACTCCAAAGCTTTTATTCTAATGTTTCCATACTTCTACCATTGTGTACATTTTACATAATGATGGAGAGCTTAGGCCTAAAGTGTTAATTATGACATTAAGTGTGTAAATCATTTAATTTTATACTTCTTGAGATATTATAACTGTTTGAATTTCTAAGTATAATCTTCAGCTTTTCTATTGATACACTTAAGTTAAAATTTATGAAAAAGGTTTAAGGAAATTACTTCTTATGTTATGAACTGAATTTTTAAGAAAAGCCTTACATTTTGTAGTAAAACACCTTTGATTCTCCAGTTGTTGCATTAGGTATAAGGTGTTTGTCCAAAACATCCAAGATATCTTGACAAATATCACGTAGCTCATTTTCAACCTTCATAACAGAGAAAAAGGTTTATTTTTAATGACTTATTTTCATAAGCATTTATAAACCAACAAATACCAACAATAAAACTTTTATGTAACATCAAGACAAATTACAACAGGAGAAACACTAGTGCAGACAAACATTTAAAAAAATTTGAAAGGCAGCAAAATTATACTCAGCAGGTAACTTAGAGGTAATTCTATAAACTCTCTCAACACAGGCTTGGTCCATTTGACCAACCACATAACCATTTCTACTCGTTTAATGTCTTTATAGGTTTAATACTTCTAACTTTCAATATAGTGTGTACATCTTCACAAAATTTCCCATGTCCTTCGCATAAAAAAAAAAATCACATTTTTATCAAAGTATTTTTAATAAAATAAAATAAAGATTTGTCCTATATTGAGTATCTGTTTTGAATAGAGTGTGCAAAGTAATTTTCATGTATAAATTAAAATACTTTTCCTCTTCTCAAAAATCTCAAATTTCCTTTGGTTAATCCATAAAACCTCCTAAATGCATCTCAAACATTTTTGTTAGTAAACTTTATAGTTTATATGTTATTTTCTCTATCCTATCTGAAAACGTGATCAGTCAATACGATTGACCTCATAACCACCAAAAAAAGAAAAGAAATAAACCTAAATTACCCTTTCTTTCTTTCTAGAATGACTTCAAATTGTAACATGAAACTACATTCATTTATCCTACTGCAGCTCAAAGTTTCTAACAGTATACAAATATTTATAATTCAATTTTATTGCCCTCTGAGCCGTGTCTAATTACTATTCGTGCCATTATAAGTTGTAAATCACTTGGGGAACATGCAGCTCACATTATGCTAATGAATTACATTACCTACGAGCTGCAACATGTGTGCCTCATAAAACATTTCTATTATTACATTACTATTATTTATTTTACCTAATCTAATCTTAAACCTAAAAGGATCCCTATTTTTACATTTTAGTTACTTTTATAATTATACATAAACATGAAAAACAAGAAATAAAATACCTCACCAATCTTTCGAAGATAGTTAACCCTAACTGTTTATACTAATCATAGTAATGCACTTAATAATTTTATTTAATTACATAATGCACCAAAGAATATAGACTAATAACAAACAAAAAGTAGACAAATTCCCTTACCTCTCAAAATTTTCTGGCTTTCTAACTTTGCGAAAAGAGCTGTTACAAATTCATGTGAACTACTTGTTTACTTTCCCATGGGAACGATGTTGGTACTCCGAGTAAAACTGACATCTAACTGTTCAGAACATAAGGTTATACAATACGTCATTTGATAGATGAAACCGTGATTTTCTATTGGTTATAGGTAATATTTAATGAAACGCAAGAGAGAACTATCAACGAATTGTGAAAGATAGGATTTGACAGTTGGGTGTGGCAGGAGGGGTCTGATTTTCTATTCAATAGCTCTGTAACCAAACAAAATTGAAGACTATAAAAATTATGGCTTGTTTGAGCAATAACGATTTTAGAGTGATTTATATCTAATTTCATACTTTTTTGAGGGATGGTGGATAAAATAAGGATGATTACATGCTAAGATAAAATAAAGAGAAAGGAATTTTTTAACATTGCCTTGTAGAATTAAGAACTTAAAATACAGATTATTAGCTAAGATTTTATGCTAAAAAAAGTAGTTTATAAAATTTTGAATGTAAGACACTAAAACCTTGTGTCATGCGCAGTAAAGTATACCTGTGGGTTAACTGAAAAATAACTCAGTGATAGTAACACTCCCATTGGAATATTATTGAAAGCACAGTTTTAATGTTTCAATAAAAACAATGTCATAATAACATTCACCACCCAAAGTTTCTTAAACAATAGTAAGAGTTTAAGAATAAAAATTAGTATTTTCAACTAAAGAACTGTTAAAAACGAAACATTAAATCTGAAATCTGATGTTACTTTTGATGAAACTTCATGGATCTTAATAATGAACAAACATACTCTTTTAACATTGGAACAGCTATACTTCACATTGAGTCCGTACAATTATAACTGTTCATCATGAATTCTGTGCAGTTTTACATAATAGCTGCTCAAAACATTTCTAATCACTAAATATAATCAATTATTTATGTATTGCTTTACAATCAATATGACATATGATCCTTCCATTTTCAACCATCATTTTGCATAACTTCCCAGGAAAAATACTCAAACCTGTAAACCAAATGCTGAAGTAATTGTGAAATGAATGTGCAAATTTCTTTTCAAATATATGAATAAATATAAAAATATCTTAAATGCTACTTTAAGTTGCCAAATTTGTTCTCTTCCTTCCAAATGTCAGGGAAAAGAAGTAATTTGTTCTTATAAAAGACTGGCCTAGTGTAACTTATCAAAGCTGCAACTGTAGCACAAATTATCATACTTTCTCTACTTTCAAAAAAACACAAAACAAGCTATTACTTTTATATTTTACACTTGACCCTTGGAATATAAAGAGTCGAGTTAGTTTGAGGTACATAAATATCAAAAACTACATCTAACTTAAGTAAAATGATTTGAGCTATCATAATGGAAGTTATCATAAACAAAATACTGCCACATCCTGAGCTTGAGAAATTCCTTTTAGCACCTTTTTCAAAAGTGAAATTAATAATTTAAGTAATTAATAAATAAATACAAGAGTGATATAAATTGGACAAGAATATTACATTAAAAGGCTACTTATTTCTTAAACTTATTTTTTTCTTCTGAGAATCCTAATAAACAAACATTCTGGATATTCCCCTCTTGAATTTGCCACCAGTGTCAAGCTAATATCAAGGTCAGTTCTGACAACTTGCAGGAGTTTGAAACTGCAATAAACAGCTTTTATAGGATCAAAGTAACATCAACATCAGAAATGGTGCAAGAAAAAGAAAAGCCTGCAATAAAAAACTGCTACTTTAGTGATTTATCGAGAAGAATGATCACCAAAAGAGGTTCTTGCTACTGATGAAACGTGGACAATGCCAAGTCAAAAATAGGCTTAACCCTATCTAAAGACTTGGTGGATTACACCAACCTTGTAACCCAAAAGTTTCCATATTGGAACTTTCAATATGTTTTGTTTATCTTTAGAAAAATTTCATGTTTTTAGTAAACATAAGTCTTTTGTATACAAAAAAATCAGATTTTTTAAAAATTTAATATTTGTACTAAAACTGTCCATGAATACATGGAGCCAGAGTGTTCACTGCTTTGAGTGCAAAGTGATTTTCATCTTAAGATTGAAAATACTTTTCTTCACCTGAAGATTGTAAATTTCATTTTCATAATTTACAAAAACCTCCTAATTAAATCTCAAATGTTTTGTTTCAGTAAAACTTTATACTTCATCTGTTCTTTTCTCTACCCTAACTCTATATGACCCCATCTCCACCATAAAAAAAGAATAATTCTAAATTACCCCTTTTTCTTTCCAGAATGACTGCAAATTGTAAAAGCAAAATACAATTGTTTATCCTAAATAGGCTTGAAGCTCATAACAGTATACATCTGTTTATATATATATAGTTTTTTGCCCTTTGACCTGTGCCTAACTGATAATCCTGCCACACAATTTGTACATCACTCTGTAAACACGTAGCTCAAATTATCATAGTGAATTATGTCACATACAAGCTGCTAGTAAGTTTATCTTGTGAAGAATTTTCTTTTTTCATTATCTTCCCTAATCTAACCTAACAAGTTCTTAATTTTTCCATTCGAGTTACTTTTACAATAATAGATAAAGAATATACATAAAAAACAAGAAATACGGTACTTGTACTCTCCTTTTTTTGCTATTGACTGTCAATGAAAGTTAAACTTAGATTTCCTTTTTATACTGTTGGTACTAGTACACTAAATCATTTTTATTTAATTAAATAAAGCACCCAAGAACACACAATAATAACATGCACAAAGCAAACAGTGTCCGATAAATTTTATAATTTTCTGGCTTTCTAACTATTTGTCACTAAGTTTACTCATCTTGTCTTTGTTATTGTAAAGCTAAGGCTATCTGCCACTATTACTAATTTTGCACCCTCCACCAACTACCTGGCTACTTAAGTGTTAAATAAAGTGTAAATTTACTGTTTTTACTGTGTTATGTTTCTAACTTATAATTGCATAATTGTATTCTTTATTGATGTTGATCTACGGGAGGTGTCTAGTGGGCACCCCTCTCCCACATTTTTCAGAATTCAAATACTATTAATTTTGTAAAAAAGGTGTGGGTATAGGGAAAGGGTCCAAGGGGATCGATCCCCCACCCCTTACATCTAATTTTTTTTCCCTGAAATTAATTACTTATTTAATGTTGTATAAGTAGTCAGGGATCCAGAGTAGGTCACAATATCTTTTTTTTTCTCCAGAAATAAGTAGGAAAAAATAGCCATATAGTATTAAAAAAATATTAAATGTCAGTGTTCTTATTTGATTGGCCTATTAATTAATGTAGTCAACAGAGCTGGAATCTACCAGCAATCCAGCTATGACCTCAGCCAATAATTAATTATTTCTAAACAAATACAGTATGAATGTCAATGAAATGTTGGTTGCCATGGTAAATTTTCATGCCTTGGCTTTTTCTAGACACACTAACAATTTGTGTACATTCTAAACTTTATTAAGTTATTTTAATCAAAATTAATATTGTTTAGGACACCTGCATCTCTTCTAACATATACTTGTTACAAAATTGACCCACAACAAAGATATTTTCTTACTGCTGATATCCAAAATAAGTGAAAATACAAGTGCTACGAGTGTACAAGTGTTGACTTTTTTTATATATATGGTTAAGAAGTTTTTGTTGTTGTTGTTTTCTAGTTTCTGTAAATGTTTCTTTCCTTGTGAATATGTTTGTGTTAAAAGCATATCTGTCTTAAAAAGCTTCAGAGATAGGGTAGGTAAGCTTATATAATTGAGATGGGTTGAATGGGTAACAAAGAAAACTTCATTAAAAGTTTAACAGTGTAACAAATGTAC